ATAATGAAAAAATGCTGGAGAATTTAACAACAATAGAAAGCAAGAAGAGTTAAAAAAAAATTTGAATGAAGTTGGAGCGATTATAAGATGTTTATATAGAAAATGGCTAGCCGGGTTGTTTGTTTTTTTTTGTATATAGCGCCACAAAAAGTGGCTTTATACACATTTAAATTATTGAACCCAGACATTATTGGTGGGGTCAGGGTATAAGACATATAGCGCCACTATTAATGGCGCTATGTAAGTTTGTCAGTATAGCGCCACTATTAGTGGCGTTATATATACTTTGGTAACTTTTTTTTTTTATACTTATTTTAGTAATTTTAGTAAAAATTAACAATAGTATGGTTCCGCAGTCATAGAATTTTTTTTCCTCTAGTTCCATTTTTTTTTTGGTGTGTGAGCTATTTGACCTTTAAAAAAAAGGATAGCCACATGTCACTATTTTATTCAATGTTGTGCCACATCATTTGAATATGAACTATAGAGCGCTTAAATTTTCAGACCAGGTGAACATGAGGTGTTCAATACGCATACAATAAATCATGTCGGAGTATCTAATAGGTACAAGTCATAGTTAGAGTGTCCAAATTAAAGTTGGTACAAACTTTAAGGGGCCGCTTATGTATTTGGCCTAACTAAATTATCTTTTAAGTCAAATATATCATAATCAGAAGTCGTGTTCTGAACATGTCAAGTGTGAAAATCATATTACATATTTGGTTCAACCATCATAATTTCGCATTATCTAAGTCATCATATCAAATCACACGTCTGTCTACTAAGTCCGATTCCGATTCTCTCTTCTAGTACGGCTAACACTCCTGCGTGGAGCTCATCAATCTGAGATTCGAGACCCTATCTTTATTAAAGCAAGGTACCTAATCCTGATCAAACGTAATGTCTATCACCAGGGATTCACTATAATACTACCCTGTCAACTATGTTCTTTTGTAAGGATATAATCCTTCTTGGCCGAGCCCTAGTCTGAGAAGTATGGAAAATGTGAAAAATTTCCCAAGGGGGTCTTAATTGTAGATGGGGCAAATGGACAGCTCAGTCGGATATGAGCGGGTTAAAAACGAGTAATGCAAAAACATATAAGAAATTGGTTAACCGGTGAATAATATAGATATTTATATTATCTATGGCTTCTTAAATATGATGACTTTTGGAAGAATTCCTAATCTCCCAAACTTTAGGAACCCCAATTTGAGTCTTTGCAAACATAAAAATTAAAACCCATTGGTTATCTATTGTTTATCCATTTAATAAGCGGATAATATGAATCTTATCCATATTTGGCCGATTTTTAAAAAGTTCAATATTCAGCCCATTTTTTAGTGGATAATGTGGATGGATAATTATTATTTTTTAAATCCATTTTGCCACCACTAATTGTAGCTGTTTGGGCCTGGCATGTATAAATGTGATTGCCACTATTAGGATCATATGATCGCATTTGCTGACAATTTGGGGGATGTTTGCCCAGGGTGGGAGAAGACTTAGGACAGGTATGTTGCAGTCGCAGCATCACGGGCTGTGATTGCAGTCATATTCAAGTAGCTGTTGCCTGGATGAACACAAATTGCAATCTTAGCTCCTCTTACATTAGGGAGGGTCCTCGACACCACGTTTGGCTACAGTTGCAGCAAGTATGCTGCGACTGTAGCACTACTAGTCTACTATGTATACTTCTTGGTTGTGATCACACAACCCTTTATCCACAGCTGGGGCTGCCTCCCGGTGTTGTGTTGCAACCATGTTTCGATTACAGTACAACAGTGGATTTTGAAAATGATGCCATTTTCCAGCCTAAGTCCAATCCAAACTCTTCCGTATCATCCAAAATACGGATTGCTATCCCCATATCAAACACACACACATTCAGTCTGCCAATAACTTAAAACCACCCATATTAAGCATTTTAAGAACTAAAGACGTGTAAAAGAGCTACACAGAGTAATGTGGCATTCCATTCTCCCCCGCTTAAAAAGTTTCATCCTAGAATATTGAAATAAGTCATACCTTTGGTGTGGAGGAGACGTGGATACGTCGCATGTAACTCTCGGCTTCCAAAGTAACTTCTTCAGCGGAATGATTCCTCAAAAGAACTTTGATTGAAGCGACTTCTTTAGACCTCAACTTGCAAATTTGCTGGTCCACAATGGTTATGAAACTTCTTTGTCGGATTGCTTATTATCCGAGTTGGAATGGGATAACAAGTACCGGGTTAAGCAAGTACTTCCGTAACATAGAGATATGAGAGAGTGGATGTACAGATTTTGACTCCAACGGCAAAGCACGACTATACTAAACTTACATAATAAAGAAACTACTAATATATTAAAATTAATTTAGAACATATAAAAAGAATTTGTGGTGAAAAGAAAATTTCCTTTTGATTGTTTATCTAAATAGGTCAATAAGAAGTAAGATACAGACACTCTTTTAAGCATAAGCTCATTCTATCCCAACCTCTTACATGGCTTTGTCCTCGTCAAAAATGGTAAGGCTTCCAATGATATACACAAGTTGTGAGCAACAAGATGGGAGATAAATTTGGACCCCAATCATCCATTTGGACCCGTCGATTCATCAATCTTCAAGAACATATCGATTCCTTCTAGCACCAAATGCAATCCTCTGCATGGCAATACACAATCATGATATCATTAGAAAGAAATCGGGTGCCAGGGAGGCAGATACCTGGGTGTTGAGCTGTGTAGGAGAAGGTGTTTTCAGGCGGAAAGAGGTGAAGGATATTATAGTAGCAAACTGTTCCACTTAACTGAAAATATTTGGGAATATGCTTTCAATCCTGTGAGGAAACGTATGTAAGTAGGCTTTGTTGATCCATTGGTCGGTATTGATCTAATGTTTGGGACTAAATACTCTGCAACCTGTAAAAATAGACATGTACGCAAAACCTAAGAGGAAGCAGGTGAGGGCGCGACAAATTTCATATTCATTTTCTAACAACAAATAGAAAATCGTCTACTTAAGATATTAAAATCTCACCACATCTGCTGGCTCTGCCAAAACGTTAATGAAGAACTTGGCCTGCATTAAACATAAAACTGTTGTAACTTTTTATTTTCAAAAAGAGTGCAAGACAGACCCTAAATGCAAGAACATAAGTAAGTTTTAATCAGCATGTTACCTGCTTCGTGTTGGCACCAGACATTAAAAGATCAGTTGTGACCATCCCAGGCTGCAATGTGAGTTGAATGTGGGTTCAGATATAACAGGATTGAATGGAGACAAATGATAGAGAAGTAAGAGCAATCACACGTTGAGAGTCCAAATATAAAGAGCCAATTCTAGGATACATAGCAGAATGTAATCTCATAACCAGGAAAAAGGGCCCCAAAACAAAACAAACAAAGTATTTGAGGTAAACATTTATGGATCTCAACTAAAGTTACATAGGTCCTCAATCCAACTACGCCATATAGGAAATATACGTTTTTGCAATGAAACTGTTATCTGCCACAAATATGCTATATAAAAAATTAGATCAGTAGGTCTGGTGTGACAAGAAAGTGCCACCGAAACTTAAAGGTATATCTATAGAGTAGTGGTTAGACCGGCCATGTTGTATGGACTGAGTGTTGGGCAGCCAAGAATTCTCATATCCAGAAGATGAAAGTGGCAGAAATGAGGATATTGAGATGCATGTGCGGGCACACTAGACTGGATAAGATTAGGAATGAAGATATTCGGGAGAAGGTGGGCGTGGCTCCCATGGACCACAAAATGTGGGAAGCGAATCTTAGATAGTTCGGGCACGTGCGGAAGAAAAACCTAGATGCCCCGGTTAGGAGGTGAGTGGTTGGCATCGACAGGTATGAGGAGAGGTAGAGGGCGGCCTAAGAAGTATTTGGGTGAGGCGATCAGGCAGGACATGGCGCGACTTCAAATTTCCGAGGACATGGCTCTTGATAGGAAGGTGTGGAGGTCGACCATTAGGATTGTAGGTTAGGAGGGAGTCGAGCGTCTTTCTACTTTGTACCGGGGGCAGGGCTAGGCTGATAGTGTTTCGCCTTGGGGTGTTAGTGGTTATGTAGTTTCCACACTATTATTTTTCTTTTTCATAGTTCTATGGCATTATTACTGGTTATTGTTATTGTTTTTTCATCTAATTTCTGGCTCTTACGATGATGATATTACTTTTCTGGCTTTTGTTGTTGTCATTGATCTATTGTGTATTTTCGTCTTCTTGAGCCGATGATCTTTCGGAAACAACCTCTCTAGCCCACCGGGGTAGAGGTATGGTCAGCGTACACTCTATCCTCCCCAGACCCCACTTGTGAATTTTTACTGGGTTGTTGTTGTTGTTGTTGTTGGGTCTGGCACTTCATCCAATATGCAAAATCAGCAGCTAACAGCTTATATTCTTATATATCTGGAATCTATCATGTTGTCAGCACAAAAGCTTTGATTTGCAGCACCATTGGGCAGACTATCAAGTATCTACAATTTATCATCTGCATGTAAAATGCAAACTTTGCAAGCAAATCATCAAGGTGGCAAGAATTATGGTGGAATTATAAGTGTAATTGCCATGTTCTCAGAATTGTCCCAGGAAAACAAGATTCAGGGTTCTGTACTATCACAAGATCAATTTCACATAAATTAGGAAGGGGAGCCTTGGCGTAACTGGTAAAGTTACTGCTATGTGACCATGAGGTCACGGGTTCGAGCCGTGGAAATAGCCCCTTGCAGAAATGCAGGGTAAAGCTGTGTACGATAGGCCCTTATGGTCCGGCCCTTCCTCGGACCCCGTGCATAGCGGGAGTTTAGTGCACTGGGCTGCCCTTTTTTTATTATTTGTTTGTCATAATTAGTATGTTTTAAAAATGATGAGTTACATGTAGGATGGAATATTTGTTAGGATTTTCTATCTCAAACTTGACAACATAAGAGATGCTTTATACTCATCATTTTTAGGAACTTAACATGCTTATCAGAATCACATCAGACAAAAAAACGTGGAATATTCAATATACAGCAAAAGAAATGAAAATAACACCCACAAAATAATCATAATAATTCAAATAAAAAAGACAAGCAATCTTCTCAATAATCCATGACACTATAAGATCACAAGATAAATGAAGCAGGGCATACCGATAGATTATGCACTATAACATTTTTAACATCTTGCATTTCCAATTCTGCCTGCAGCGAAATCAAAAAAATCTATGCTGTGATAATTCATCACGAAATATATCAGAGAGAACAAAGGTGACACCAGATTGCACAATGACATAACTTTTGCAGCTATCCTACTTTTGCTACATAGAGACGCATCTAAGAAGAATGAAGGCCAGCCAGCATTCAAGTCTTCCAACTGCAGGTTTAACGTTTTGTGAAATGTTGATTTAATACTTCATCTATCAAAGTTGTATTTTATGATTTCAAGAATTATGTAATTCCAGTTTTCTGTGGCAGCTGTATGGGAAAATAATACAGGAAAATAGAAGTATAATCCGTGATTTTTCATGTCTTTAACTAGTCTTGACCTTTATCCTCTCAGCCATTCATTATTTAGGGTGCCAAGCACGTGATGAAAACTTTCAGATTGCATGGATAACTGATCCTGGAACTCAAAATTAGCAAAATTAATGTGTCTTAATATCAAACCCAACATTCAATGATCCTGCATAGAATTGAACAACCAACAAGGGGAGGGGGGAGTACGCTGAAGGTGTGCCTCATCTAAATGATCTTGCATAGAGTTTGACAACAACCCGCGGAGAAGGGTGAGGGAGTATGTTAAAATTGTTAGACAGGACAAATTTCTTTATTTTAGTATGTTAAAATTGTTAGACAGGACAAATTTCTTTATTTTAGTTCTGTAACACATCCCCTTATGTACGCGCCTAATTCTTTTTCTTTCCCAAGCACATGGATATATTTGTTGATTGGTAGTGAGGGAGTATGTTAAAATTGTAAGACAGGACAAATTTCTTTATTTTAGTATGTTAAAATTGTTAGACAGGATAAATTTCTTTATTTTAGTTCTGTAACACATCCCCTTATGCACGCGCCTAATTCTTTTTCCTTCCCAAGCACATGGATATATTTGTTGATAGGTAGCGGTGAGACTCGAATCGTCTGCCTATTCTAATACAAAATTTAATAGTGTAAGCTGCCTCATAAAAGCATAAACAATTAGAGAGGGAACGTTTTCATATACATTATATACATATATAAATATATTTTAGGTTGCAAACTGAGTACATGCCTGCAATGATTTGGTTAAGTGCACAACACTGCGCTTTGTCGCTCCATATGCAGCAAATCTGAAGAAGGAAAAGGAAACAAGACCCATCACTGAGAAGAACTGCGAAAAGGGACGCAAGTGAGAAACTAGTTGCATTATTCTCACTAGAGTCCTCCTATATGAAGTTGATAGCAATGCACTTCCAAGATATTAAAAATCTACAAGGGATTTCATAAAGAAAGATTAAATCTGAAACAAACAGAAGGGGCACATTCGAAAAACAAAAATGGAGATTGGAGAAGACAACCTAAAGAGAAAACTTGAAGAGAGAATCAGGGACATATTGATAATTGTTTAATATCCAAGCATGACACGTTACCAATTTTGTTCCAAAGTATGTTACTTGATCTATTAATGACGCAACATCATGTATTGAAGTCATAACGCTAATAGCCACCAGTAATTATTTGAAGTCATAACGCTTTTACAATTGGTCAGAGGATGTATCATGTAGCAGTACAACGATTATCATGGAATAGGATCAGCTATGATATTTTGAACTTCAGGACACAGAAAGTTAAGTTTACTCTAGCAACAACCAAATGCGTCTAACTAAAGAAAATTTATTACGCTGTTTAGATGATTATTGTTTTATCCTTCTTGTCTGAAACAAACTTGAAGTTTGCCTCCCATGAACTTTTTATTAAAATTTAACTTTTGAGCACTACGGTGAGGTTTCAGAAAACTTGAATCAAAAGCTTTGATTTTTTCCCAATTCCCTTTGCACTCTTACCCATTTTCTGCTACCAAAGAAAAAAGATGAGGGTGCTGAAAATTGGAACTGAAAAACAAATCATAATCCAATTTCTTCTTCAGTCCCTTTCTAGAAAATCCTTTTATAGCCTCCCTCCCTCCCTCAGATCATGAAGATAAACGGACAAGCAAAAATCTGCAAAGAAACTGCAACAGATGTGCAGAAGCAGGTCAAATTCCAATTAAATCATCGCATAACACATGCATGTACTGAAGCCTATGTTGCTCGGACTCTCCGAAAATGTAGATGGGTGCGTGTCGGATCCTCCAAAAGTAATGCAGTTTTGGAGGATCTGACACGGGTGTGACAGCTGTTTTGAAGAGTCTGCGCAACAGACTGAAGCAACACCTTTAATGGTTCTTAGAAATACTATTCTCGCACGAAAATTTTCCATAACTTTCTTACCAACTGACTTTTAACTTGCATAATGGTTGTACTTAATGAGTTTAAGGTCCAGTTATTAAAGGACCAACTTGATGTTTCCGCCAAGAGGTTCGTAAAGTTAAGAAAGAACTCTTGTGTTTCCAATTTCAAAAGTAGGGCAAATTCTCGGTTGATGAACCAATGTCAATGGGAAGCAATTTGTGCACCATGTGAGACATCCAGGTGACATTCCGGGGATATGGAGCAAAATGAGATACTTTTCTTGATAAGTTATTCACTTCTCAAATCTCCCTTATGAAATTGTTCTAGCACACGGCCCCATCTCTTCTGATACATTATGCATAAGTTGAGTGCCACTAGGAAAGGAATAAAGATACCTGGGGGTTGGTCTTCCATCTGAACCAGCCCCATCAATATTAAAAATATGACCTCCTCGAGGCTGATTCTGCATCAAGTTTATAGCCTAAAATAACAAGTGTTAGCAAACAGAGGCTAATCAACAAAGAGGAATTCAACAACCGAGCAACACAATTTACCTCACGACAACATATCATCAAACCAAGAGTATTTGTAGTGACAACTTGACTGCATGCAAATCGAGTTCATGAGCACCTTCAATAAACAAAGATAGGACACAAGTGAAGTGTAAAAGAGCTCACATTAGATCTTCATCAGAAGCTTCTGCCAGGGGTTTGAAGCTATATGCATTTGATCCTGCATTATTGATCTGCATCATGCTCGAGAATTTGTAAGCAACCAACAAAAATTAGAATATCAACATTTCAACATATAAGTTTCTCAATGACTAAAATCTTAACTTTTCTTCTCAAAGACTAAAACTAAAATACAAAATTACCACCTTGGGGTGGATTGACAAAAAAATACTTATATAAATTACTTCCTTTGTCCCAATTTATGTGATGCACTTTCCGTTTTAGTCTGTCCCAAAAACAAAGATACCTTTTTATATTTAGAAATAATTTTACTTCAAACTTCTATTTTGCCCTTAATGGATGATTTATAGTCACACAAATATTTATGACTTGTTTTAAACCACAAGTTTAAAAAATCTTTCTTTCACTCTTAAACTCCGTACTCAGTCAAACTACATCACGTAAAATGAGGCAACGGGAGTACAACTTTAAAATACTCATTGCAAAGTTTTCGTCTTTCCTTTTACCAACTCATTTTTACCAGATATTTGCTGTGCTAGATTATCCTGATGAAATCACATTGACTGTGAACATGCGAATATTTGGAGTCCAAAACCAAAATGACTAGAAGTGCTTTTGTAGTCATATCAACTCAAGCAAATTGAGGATCCAGATAAAATACCCATATGTCGATGTATTTAAGCTTTTGCTTCGCAAAGGCAGCTAAGTTCTTCACGTCTTCTCCCTCTTTAACATCACACCTGGTGCCCTGCATATGGATCTGAATTATTAACTAGCATGTGAAGACGAAATAATACTTAAGGTAAGCATGTAAAGAAAGCCTAAAACACCTGAAAGGATAAGTAAATATACTTTGGGACCTTTTGTTTACTTTACAATTTTACTTCCAACAGAACTTTCAGGACATCAAAGTTAATGAAAATGTTGGTTTATGTTTAGTCAACAATGACATGCTGAAAATGTTGGTTTATGTTT